TGTGTGTGTGTGTGTGTGTGTGTGTGTGTGTATTAGATTATCCAGGCAGAGGAGTTGGGGGTTTAGGGGTTGGGGAACAGAAGTAGTGAGGTGTTTATCAATACTGAGTATCACAAAAATGTGAGGAGAAAGGTGGTTCTGCCTCTGAACTTAAAGAGCCTTTGAGACCTTGTTGTAGACAGGTCCTGTAAGCTTGAGTCTGGCATGTTAGCAGAGGAGCTAAGGCTGGAGTTCATGGCTCTGGAGTCATCTGGGTGTAGTTGGGGTTAGAGCCACAGATACAAATGGGGTTTCTCTGAGAGAAAGACTAGTGTGAGGAGAATCAGGAGGCCAAGGTTTGAGCCCTGAAAAACATTAATTTTTAAGGGGGCAGAAGAAGAGGAATCTACAAAGGAGACAAAGCCATAACAGCTAGAGGTAGGATGAAGGCCTTCCTATTCGTGAATGTCAAAAGTTTTAAAATACTTAGCAAATCATTGGCTCGTACATATATTTAGTGCCTTTCATAGTGAAATGATAGCAATGTAGAGAAACTAATGTGCTGTCTTTGCAATATCCTATACATTTAAACATGTTTAAAACTTCCCCAAATGTTTTCATACTGTCCATCTTCTGTCTTGTGAGCATTTGTTACTGTGTTTCAGTAAAATGTCTCTTCTTATGTACTATTTGATTTGTGGAATAGACAGTCGACTGAAGCCCTCATTATGTGTGAACAAGATATCTCCAGAATGCGTCGACAACTGCATGAAACAAATGATGAGCTGGCTCACATTGCTAGGGAAAGAGATGTCTTGGCTCATGACAATGACAATCTCCAAGAGCAGTTGGGCAAAGCTAAGCAAGAAAACCAGGTACACGTGTTCTAGAATCCTTTTCTCCAAGAAAAAAAATATTTCTCCCAAGGCACAACCCTAATTTTATCTTGTACAAAAGCTCAAACATTGGAACCAGCCATTTAAAAAATTTTTATGACAGAATATGCCATTTAATTTATAAATGAGGGGCTGGGGATTTAGCTCAGTGGTGCCATCGCCTGCCTCACAAGTGCAAGGTCCCAAGTTCAGTACCTGGTACCAAAAAAAAAAAAATTATAAATGAAATTCTCAGACATAAAGTGTTAAATATTAAAAGAAGAAATGGGGTATAATAGATTTGTATTATACCTTAGAAAGTACTTCTTTACTGATTAAATCAACAAATGAGGATAAAAGCCATCAGAAACATTAAAGGAAAGGGTAAATTTATTTAATGAACTATGTATTATTCTGTTTAATAAGGACGATGCCACATTTTTTTTGGTCCTCTTTAGCACTGTGATTTCTTTTAGAAAAATTCTTTTTTTTTTTTTTTTTTTGGTACCAGGGATCGAACTCGGGTCCTTGGCCTTGCAAGGCAGGCGGCGGAACCACCGAGCTAAATCCCCGGCCCGGGAAAATTCTTTTTATAATAACTTTTTCTAAGCTAGTATATTTCAGTCTAATTCACAGTTCTCATTTCTAATAACAATATTTTAACTGGAACATTAAAATATTCTATTTGGAAACTTTCTTTCCCCCTCAGTATTCTTAAGTCCAAATGATTTCCCCTACTTCAATATCATTTTCCAGGAGTTTAGTTTGAATCATAAAACCTGTATTCTTTAACTGTTAAAACTGTTAATTTACATAAATAGCTATATATTGAAACACTTTAATTATAAAAATTATTTGAGACATTAAAATACTTTGTTCAACAGTTGATGGGATTCTGGAATTTAGAAAAAGTACATTTTGTAAAAATGGAAGAACTGCTTACAATACAGACTTCAGATAATGATGTATTAATGTTAGTTCATTAATTTTGATAACTTTACCATACAAGATAAAATGCTGAAATAGAGGAAAGTGAGTGTGGAGTGTGTGTGGGCTCTCTGTACTAATTTAACAACATTCCTATAAAACCAGAACTATTCTAAATAATGTTTATTTTTTAAAAAATTAATGAACAGCAATAAAAACCAGAAGAATTTACAAAGTCTACTTTTGTGTACTCTGTTTACACTAGCAAATAGGCTAACTTGTGTTTACAAAAAACTAGAAATTTAGTTTTGTTTTTTATTGGTTAGGAAATAGAAGCTTATTATAGAAAACCTGTTTCCTTTAAACAAGTCAAGAAAAAGGATGATATCTTATCATCCACAGTTAGTCACAACATTTGACTTTTTAAAAAGTGATTTTCAGTGTACTTAACATTTTAAATACTTTTTTAACATATGCTTTTTAATGTAGCTAAAATAAAAACCACACCACTTTATATAGAGTTGAATATCACTACAAGTTGTGTAATTATATGGTTTAACTTCTCTGTCTCTTATTACATAATCTGTAAAAATGAATAGTTAATGAGAAGGTACAAGGTCTAGTAAAAAATAGTGTATTTAATTTTTTAAAATTTATTACAGTAAAAGAGACATTGCCATTAACTCCTCTCAGAATGCTTCTCCTTAGTTCAAACACATTGTTCTTGCCATTTTCTGAAGCAGTTCTGGAGATCCTCTTTCATATCTTTACAAAAATACTGTACAGTGAATGCTGCCGTATGCCATCCAATGGAAAGGCAGGCTTGTAAAAACATTACAAGGCATCCTGAGTCGACTTATTCACCACCTGAGGAACTGAGCCTCTTTTCACTGTTCCCCAAAGTCAAAATGACCTTGACAGATTTAGCTCAGTGGCTCTGCCACCTGCCTCGCAAGCGCAAGGACCCGAGTTGGATCCCTGGTACCAAAAAAACACCCCAAAAAACCCAACATGACCTTGACAGGTGTACAGTTTGAATCATTGAAGCAGCCACAAATAGCACCACTAAAGACATTCATGAAATAAATTTTAAATTTAAACGTTTAGCAATTGTATGATTACACCACCTACCTGGAAAGCACCTGCCATAGTATCCAGCATATCACTCAATATTTTGTAGCTAATTGTTACCTTACTGTAACATAAACATTTTCTGCCTTGTCAAAACTCCATAAACACTTTTTTATTCATTCATTTTATCGGTACATTTTAGGTATACAATATGCTGACATTCATCATTGGGAATTTGTACCTTTGCATAATATATCTTGCTTATTTTTTTCCCCATTCCGCTGTCCATAAACACTTTTGATCATCAGAAAGAAAACTGGTAATATATGTTCCAAATTAGTTTTCTTCTTCTTTTGGGTCATAGACCTAAGGTTAGACAAAGGGATCTCTCTATGTATGACAGATTAAGATCCAGTACTGTAGAAAATGAGAAACTTAAAAAAATTTATCCATGATACCACATTTTTTGAGAAATTGGGATGGGGTACTTTTGTATTTTAGCCTGATTTTTAAAAATTTAACATAGATTGCATTTCCCTCTATTATTAAAAATTACGCCAAACATTTCACTGTGTGATTGCACCAGTGTGCATATACATGATTATTTGCTGCATCATTCAGCTAATGTGAATAAACATTTTTTATTATAACATCTTTATAAACAATCTCTACTAAATGTTACTAGATTTCATCACATCGAGCCAAAGCTTATGAGGTTTCTTTTTTAAAATTTAAATTTAATTAAATAGAATGTTTTATATTTTAAAATATAGTAAGCCCTTATTTACCTTTGCCTACATTTTCTCTCTTGTTTTTAATGAACATTTAAAAATGTCTGTTCATGTAGCTGAACACAAATTTGTTTTTTGCAAATTTATGTTTGGAGTGAACAGTACACGGAAATACCCATTCCTTCTAGAACTGAAGTTTTAAATCTTTACTAATTTTGTGGGCAAAATAGTATTTCTTGTCTTAATTACCATATCTTTGGTTACTAGTAATGTTTAATTTTTTTTCAAGTATTATCTAATTATGTTTCCATTTTGTGAATTATCTGTTTGGGTCCTTTGATCGTTTACTCTTAGGCTTTTGTGTTTCCTCACCATGTTTATGTGAATTTTATTTATTAGGTATATTAATTTTATTATATTTGTGGCAAATATTTAAATTTTTATTTTTGGTGATATTTTTACACATAGGATTTTTTGTTTGTTTGTTGTCATATCTAACTATCTTTTTTCCATAGACATTGTCCAAAAAACTGAATGATACACATAATGAACTTAATGACATAAAACAGAAGGTCCAAGATACTAATTTGGAAGTTAACAAGCTGAAGAATATATTAAAGTCAGAAGTATGTATATATATTTTTCTCCTTGCTCATGAAACCTTAGTTACTTTCTCTTTGCTGAGATACAATACCTGACACCCACAATTTGAAGGAAAAAGGATTTATTTTGGCTCACAGTTTGTAGAGGTTTCAGTCCATAGTCGGCTCGCTCCAAGGCAGGGTGACTGGCAGAGTAGAAAGAGCTCATGACATGGTAGGCAAGAAGCAGTGAGAAGGATCAAAGGACGATGAAAGATATATACCTTCCAGGCCATGTCCCCAGTGACCCACTTCTTTCCGCCAGGCTTCACCTCTCAATAGCATGTCCAGTTATAAACCCATCAGTGGACTGATCCAGTGATGAGAATCACACCATGATCCAGTCACCCCCCGAAAAGCCCACCTATGAGCGTGAGGCTTTGAGGGGACATCTAGATAGAAACCATAACAATACCTAAGAGTTTATAAGAATTAATTTAGTAATTCATTATACACATCAGAAGAGATAACTCAAGTCTTTCTTTACTACATAGCATTATTTTAGTTTTGACAGTGGTAAATTGACTATATATTTAGACTGTCACCAATGTCCAGGAAGGTGAGTTAAGAATATGTGCCTTTTGGGCCAGGGATTTAGCTCAGTGGTGTTGCACCTGGCTCACAAGCATACGGTCCTGAGTCCAATGCCCAGTACCAAAAAAAAAAAAAATGTGCCTTTTGGTTTGCTACACTTAAACACTCAAGAAAAACAGAATCTTCCTACCTGGATAACAGACAAAAGACCACTATCAAGTTGGGCTCTCTTATGTTTGAAAATGGTGGGGTTTTCAGTGATAAACCTGTGACAAAGGTTTCCTTCCTGGTTATGTAGAAGATCAGAATTGATCATCCTGTTATGGGGCCATCTGTTTTGTAGGACCACAGGGCCAATGACTGTTCTTTGTACTTCTTTGTTAGCAACTCTTTGGTCAGGTAGGTGTGCATATGTGACAGCAGATGATCCCAAGTAGTAACCCTGGAATAAACATAGAGCTTGACCAAGGATGGTGGATATGCCAATTAGACAAAATATCTCAGAGTGTACATTGATTGAGCTTTATAATAGGGTGTGGTGCTACCTACTTACTACTTACACTGTTAATGGGAACTCTTCCCCTCCACTCCTTATTTTATTTAACATATCATTTAATATCAGTCCAAATATGTCTTGAATATTTGTTCATAGTGTACATAGGACTGTAAAGGCTCTGAGATTTAAGAGAATCTAAGAATCCCTAATTACAATCCTTGCTTTCAGGCCTAATGTAGAGAAAGCAAGTGGTTTCCTATACTTACTGTTTTTAGGGTATTAATAATGCAATACCGTTTGGAATCAGCCAGATGTGGCTTTTTTTCCTCGTTAATGCTGTGATTTACTCGGGGTGCTTGCCTTGAGTCTCCATTTCCCAACTGTAGTTGGAAAGAACATCCAAGCACATGAAATAAAGTATATAAAACACCAAGTAGAATGAGTCATCTATGAGTAAATATACTGTGGAATAAGTCAAAAAGAAATCAATGAGTATCCAGAAAAGTGTTTAATATGTAGTAAGCTTTTAGCCAATGCTAGATACTTCCGTTAAATCTCCCTGGTTTATCACTCACATTACCTGAAATTCCACCATTATGGAGTATTTAGATTTTAGAATTGTATTTTCAGATATCACACATCAAGCTTCTCTTAGCTTTTAGCATCTACTTTGGGTTTGTTTGTGAGACTGCATTTCACAGTACTGGATGGGTTCAGGTACTCCCAGGGAGAACAAACCAGGCATCCATTTGGTAGAGAGGAGCATCAAGAAGTGTGTGGTATTTTATTCATTTTCTCAGTGTGCAGGATGAGAGAGGTACCAAATAGACCTGGAGAGGTCCTGAAGTAGAAACAGCTTCATTTTCTTCATAATGTTGCCTCTCTTGGGCCCCATACTTCTCTAATCTGCATGGGAGGATGTAGAAAAGCTCAAAATGTGGCTTTTGATTACCAAGAGGGAGGGGCTCTGGGTGGCTAGAGGTCAGGAGAGATGTTTTCTGCAATCCTTTTTCAACTTTTCATTGGTCATAAAACTAAATTTAACATTAAAAAGGTTCCTATCTTGGGGCCGGGGATTTAGCTCAGTGGTTCCGCTGTCTGCCTTGCAAGCACAACGACCCAAGTTTGATCCTTGGTACCAAAAAAAAAAAAAAGATTCCTATCGTGGAGAAATTCAAAATACTAAGGAGACAGTATATCCACACCTAACTACGTAAACTATCTGGCAGTTTTAAGCAAATGGCATAGACAATAAGATCTATAGGCAGTTAAAAAAGGTAAAAGTTGACATGGGTATAATTCAGTTTGTGTGTATTTTACCTGGTAACTCTTGATCACTTGCTCCATGCACAACTATTGTTTGTAGTATAATTACAGAAAACATACATTAGGTTTCTACTGGCGCATCTGGAATATCTGAATCTTGAAAGCCAAGCAAGCAGTTTAGTATACAGTATTAATTTGTTAACAGACTTGGTAAAGTTCTTTCATATTAGAAACCACAAGGTGGCAATATTAACTGAGTTTCAGTCAGTTTCTTTCTTTTTTTTTTTTTCTAGTTTCTTAGGATTAAGTAATCTTAACTGTGAGAACATAAATCTGATTTGAAAGGCTTATAGAGTTGAACATTATTTATTTGCAATTTGGTCATTTTATTTAGCGCAGGATTTCTGATAGAGAAATGTGGTATTTATTAACAGGTAGCAGTGAAAGAAATCTAATGCCCTTTTATTAATTACTGAAATTATAGCTGATTTCTTAGAATAACTTGGCCAACCCATAATACTAAGATGTTTCAAAAATAGCCTAATAATGATTATTCAGCATAGTGTATTATCTGTGGAGCTAAATTTTTTCTCTAGAAAGAAGATCCTATTCAATCAGTCCACTCAAGGTATAACTTTGAAGGTTGAAAAAACCTGGTTCTACACTGTATGTCCAGTTTACACATGAATTCATATAGTTTACAAATAGTGTTTATTGGCATAGGTTTGATATTTAACTTGTGAGCAATTTCAGGCAAGTAATTAGAATAACAAGTAAAAGTGAATTATAGCCCATGCTCAGGAAAATTAAGGCTGGGTTTGTGAATGAAAGGCAGCAGACAGGAAATGCTCTAAACCAAGAGAATTTGCAGAAGTTGACCCTTCAGCTGTGTAAGAATTCAGAAGCTTTGTAACCAGTACAACCCAGTAAAGTGGTCATAAATAAGAAAGAATACACAGACACAAAAGATCAAAGGCTCAGAAGTCAGACCAGCAAGGAGTCAGTAAAGAAGCATGGGAAAAGGAGGCAATGAGAGTTTTGTTTGAACCCAAGGAAACGTAAAAACCTGTTATCCAGTTCCTGAAGAGTAATTAACTTGACTTAATTCACTAGGTAGATAACTGACTAAGCTACAACAGATTCTGATTGATCTGCTTTTTGCTTAATTACAGGATGGCTAGGTTTGTAAACTAAGAGTCTGAATAGATTTTCTCATAGAGGTTTTAAATAATACCTAAGATTTGCTTTTCAGGAATCTGAGAACCGGCAAATAATGGATCAACTCCGAAAAGCCAGTGAAGATGCTGAAAACTGGGAAAATAAGGCCCGCCAATTAGAGGCAGATAACAATACCCTCAAATTGGAACTTATCACTGCTGAAGCAGAGGGTAACAGATTGAAAGAAAAAGTAGATGCCCTCAACAGAGAAGTTGAGCAAGTACGTCGGGGTGATGCCTTTATAATGCATCCAGTATCATATTTAAACTTTTGTTTGATTTCCCATAAGTTAATAGCTAGGCAGACGTTATGTTATTTAAATACACAGTGAATTGTAGCCTTCTAACAATTCTTGTATCTACTCTGGTTCTCCTCTAGTCTCTTATCTACTGTATAAACAGAATAACTTTTAGTATTTTTTTAAAATTTGGAAACTAAAACATATAAAAAGTACAAAAAAGGTAATAAGACACACAAATCCCCATCCTCCAGATGTAAGAACACTAACATTTTGTCATATTTGCTTCATATAATCAATCATATGTCTTTGTTTAAAGAAACAACATTACAGATACAGCTTCTCATCCTTTCTCTCTTTCTTCTTGCCTAATAGTTGATGTAAGTTTTATGTCAATTTGTCTAACCCCTTTTTATGTCTTTATACTTTTTTGGCATATGTTACCCATCTATTATAGAGAATGTTGTTTTGGTTTTAACTTTTCATTTAAGTGATAACATACTGTAGATACCACTTTGCAACTTTGTTATGTCTAGTATTTTGATATCTATTATTTCTAATATTATGATCAGACAAAATGGCTTGTATGATACCAATTGTTTGGTATCTATTAAGACTTAATGTCAGGGCGGTATTTAATGATAATCTACATGAGCTTAAAAAGCATGTATACTCACTTATTTTTGAGTCCATGCATACGTGTGTGTTACACATAACATGTAAATGTATATATTAGATTAGATGTAACTATGTCATTCAGTTCTTATAAATCTTTACTAATTTTGTGTTCTTTGTATTTTAATTTCTGGAGAAGATGTCTTCACATCTTCCTCTATAATTGTAGATTTGTCTTTGTTCCTTTTAATACTTTTTTCTCTTTTTTTGCTTTGTTTTTGAAGCTACTATTAGTTTTATACCAGTCCTGTGTTTTTATATATTTCTGATGAAAATATTACTTTTATCATTGTGTAATAACTCATTTGAATAACCAACATTTTTGCTTCAGTGTGTGCTTTTATATATTAATGTAACATCTAATTTGTTTACTTTCTTATACATTTTTGGTAAATCTAATTTTAAAATCAACTGTATTGAAGTATAATTTACATGAAATAAACTCACTTTAAACATACAATTTAGTGAATTTTGATAAATAAGTAAACTGTACAATTACCACTGCGATCAAGATGTAGCACATTTCCATCACCTCCCCAATATTCCCTTGAACCCCCCATCACATCCCAAATCAGGCAATCCTGACTGTTTTCTGTCAGCACAGATTAGATTTGCCTTTTCTACTATTTTGGAAAGGGTAGAAAAGTGGAATCACACAGTATGTACTTATTTGTGTCTTGGATTCTTTCAGTGTATTTTTGAAGTTCATACATGTTCTATGTTAATTTGTTAGTTCATTCCTTCTTATTGTGTAGCTTTCCTTTTCACTTGTGTAGTGAATGTACAGGAATCATTCCTGTATTCACCTGTGGACGGGCATTTAAGTTATGTACTAGTCTGCTAGGGACACCATAAAAAATATCACAGGCCAAGTGGCTTCAACAATATATTTTCTTGCATTTCTGGAGGCTAAAAGTCCAGGATCACAGTGCTGGCATTCTGTGGCCTTTCTCCCTGTTCCACAAATAGCTGCCTTCTGTGTCCTCATGTGGCTTTCTTCTGTGTGTGCACATCCTACGTGTCTGTTGTTCCTCTTTAAGGACATCAGTCATCTTGGAAGAGGGTCCCACACTTATAACCACGTTTAACCTTCTGTGTGTGTGTGTGTGTGTTTGTGTGTGTGTGTGTGTCTATAGTGCTGGAGATCAAACCCAGGGCTCGCACATGTTAGGCAAAAGCTCTACTGCTGAGCTTTACCCTCACCCCTTTCCGCTTAACCTTAATTACCTTTTTAGAATGTCCTCTTTCTGAGTTCAGTCACATCACACATTAGGGTTTCAGTGTATGAATTTGGAGGGACACAACAGAGTCCATAACAATTTATTTTCAGTTTTTGGTCAAGAAAAATAAAATTTCTGTGAACGTTCTGTTCAAGGCTATGCATGCACCTAAATTTTTATTTTTCTTGGTAAATAACTAGAAATGGAATTGCTGGATCTTATGGTAATTGTGCTTAACTTTGTAACAAATTGACAGATTATTTTCTGAAGTGTTTATGCCACTTTACACTGCCACTTGTATTTTATGACAGTTCCACTTACTCCACATCTTCTCCAGTACTTGATATTGTTAATTTTAACTTGTGTTTCCCTTTGACTAATGATGTTGAGTAGCTTTTCACATGCTTCTTAGTCACTCATCTGTCTTCTTTTGTGAAGTATCTGTTCAGATCTGGTAGCTATCTTTTTACTGGAATGTTTGTCATCTTGTTACTAAGTTGTATGACTTTTTAAACATTTCACATATTTCTTTGTCAGGTATATGTATTTTGTATGTTATACGTTTATATAGCTGTGTTAATTTTATTTATTTTTCTCTATCATTGATTTTCATTTCCTCACGTAATTTGGATTTAATTTGCTCTTCTTTTCCATTTTTTTTTTTTTTTGGTACCAGGGATCTAACTCAGGACCTTGCGCTTGCGAGGCAGGTGCCAGAACCACTGAGCTAAATTCCCGGCCTTCTTTTCCCATTTTAATGTAGACATTTATGTCATTGGTTTGAGACCATCTTCCTTTATACTATACTTCTTTTATACTTTAAAGTTAGATATTTTTTTCTACATACTACTTTACCTGCATCCTACCCATTTTTATGTTACTGTTTTTTGTAATAGCTTTATTGGGACTAATTCACATGTCAGACAACTCACCTAGAATATGGTTTAATGGAATTTGCATACTCATAGAGTTTTGCCACCAGCGCATTTCTAAACATTTTCATGACCTCAAGAAGAAACATTATATCCTTTAACTCTCACTACCGAAGTCCCAGCTAGATCCCTCTTGGTTAATTTTTCTATATGGTATAAAGTACATGTTGCAAAATCATCCCTTCAACATATGGCTGTCCAGTTGTCCTAGCAACATTTATCAAAAAGATTTCTTTCCTCATTGATCTCAGCACTCTCATCAAAAATTAATAGGCTACAGACAAATGCATTCATTTTAGATGCTCAGATCTGTTCCATTGATCTATGTGTCATTTTGTCAGGGCCATGAAATCATAATTTCTGTTGCTTTCTTTTTATTTTTCAAGATTGTTTGGCTGTTTTGGATTTTTTGAGTTTCCATATTAATTTTAGGATTAATAGTTTTTGCCTTTTGATTGAATTACTTAATTCATATTTAACATTGATATAACTGGACTTACATTTGCCATTTTACTTTTTCCACATAACTTATGTCTTTTTTGTTCCTCTATTCCTCATTTACTGCTTTCTTTCGCATTAAATGAATATATAGAACAAAGCATTTAAATTACATTAGTGATTTTTTTTTCCACTATGTTTTTTGAATTACTTCTTTGGTGTGTGGCACAAACATCTGACTTATTGGTTATTATTATTTTTTTTTTGGTACCGAGGATTGAGCTCGGATCCTTGCGCTTGTGCAGCAGGCGACGAAACCACTGAGCTAAATCCCCAGCGCAACATCTGACTTATTGGAATCGTCTTCAGGTTTATAGTAACTTAATTCCAATGAAGTATAAAAATGTTACTTGTAATGGTTCTCGTCTCTTCTGTCATTTTGTTTTGTTATTATTCACATGTGGTATATAAGACATATGTAGTCTACCTTAGTGAATATTCCATGTGAGTTTGAGAGCAATGTATATCCTATTGCTTTTGGATGAAGTAGTCTATAGAAATGTCAATTAGATCTTATTGATTGACACTGCTGCTCAGTCCAGCGATATCCTTACTGATTTTCTACCTCCTGCATCTATCAATTATTGATATATAAATATTGCATTCTCTAGTAATAATGTGTAATAGTAGATTTGAGTATCTCTTCTTGACATTCCTTTTTTTGTTGTTTTGGTTCATATATGTTCACATACTTTAGGAGTCCTACATACTGTTAGGAGTATACATTTTCTTTTTTACTTCATGTTAGTAATACAGAATTGTGATGTTTGGGGAATTCATACATGCACATAGCATATCTGGGTCATTTTCAATCTATTTACTTCCCTCTCCTTTACATTTCCCCTCTCTCTGAGCCCCTTCACTATCTCTAAGGGTAGGAGCATACTATTTTAAGTATTATTATGTTCTCTTGGAAAAATTTAATTTTTTATTATTTTATAACACTGTCTCTGATAAATTTTCTTATTCTGAAATCTACCTTCTCTGAAATTGATAGGTACTCCAGTTTTCCCTTAATTACTATTAGCATCTTTACACCATTTGAGTTTCTTATAGATACATATACTTAGGCCTTTTGCAGTCTGTCTTGATAATTTGTATTTTACTTGATGTATTTGTAACCATTTTCTATTTATTATCCTGTTCTTTGTTTCTTTTTTTGTCTTCAGTTCTTCTGTCTTTTATGTTTTTTTGTTTTTGGTACTGGGGATCGAACTCGGGTCCTTGCGCTTATGCAGCAGACGGCAAAACCACTGAGCTAAAGCCCCAACCCTTTTATGGTTTTAATTGAGGATTTTATATAACTCAGTTCTGTTCCTTCTCTTAGGATATTTACTATGCTTTAAAAAAACTTTTTGTAGTTGCCCTACAATTTGCAATATAAATTTCTATCTAATCTAACTCTGTTTTCACATAAAACTACCACTTCATGAATAGTGCACGTTACTTACAGCAAAATATTTGAAAATTCATCAGTCTCATCCCCATGTGATCCTTAATTTCACCTATTTATAAGATGAAATAATTCAATATATTGTTGCTATTATTTTATTTAATTTTTATTTTATTGGCATATTTTAGGTATACAATATAATGACATTCATCATTGGAAATTTGCACCTTTACATAATCTCTCTTGGTTCTTATTTTTCTCCCT